AGAGTTATTTAAAGCATAAATGAGTGGGTTGGGTTCTGGAGGTGTGGTTACAGCAATTGTGCTTGGTTGGCGTGGCCCAATGTGATATATTTTTATGGGGCCCAAAATCCCTGGCGTGTATGGCCAGAGGGCAGGACCTATAACACATTTACTACCCAATAGCATTGTGAGGCTGAACAAATGGACCTTTTGACTATGTAAATGTAGTCTTTTAAAAAAACAAAAAATGTACTGACTTTTTTAGGATAGCTTAAAGTAATGTTGTAAAATTACAACCGGGGGCCTTACAGGGTTAAAGGCTATTGTTTATTGTTATTTACTTTAAGATGTTTATTCTTAACCAATCATTTAATTTAAAAACTCTTATTTAAATGATGTGTGTGAGTCTCTATATTCCTGATGATACACTGAGAGAATGAGCACATAGGGCTGCTGATCATCATAAGCTAAACAGTCTGTATATTGCATTACATTTGTATAATGTAAGCTTCGTTGATACTTTGCCTGCGGGAATACGAAAAAAATAGTTAGATATACTGAATATTATTTGATTTATTCCACCACTAGCTTAATCCCAAATAATGTAGAGGTGTGTTGTAGGTGCCTTAAATAACCCCTTGTTCTCTAGTGTGATGTATTTTTATGTTCATATAATAGTGATTTCAATGCCACCCCAAAATGATCACTGGTTCCCTCCTGGCCACCCCACTGAAAATGTCATGGCTCCGCCACTGTATGACTCCTGTTAAGCCCGAGAGACCCCGGTACCGGGGTACTGCCGCAACATCTTGCAGGAAACAGTGTCTGAGGGCATGTTCATTTAATAAACTATGAATGTTTTATATCCATGTAACGGGAAAAAACTCATCTAACTGATCATTTAATTTTTTTTCTCCAAAAAAACCCCACAATGCTAACGCTGAGCCTCTGAATTAGCAACGAGCGAAAAATGCTAACAGATGACTGCACCGAAATTCACTCACAAAACCTTATTATTTATCTTTGGTGCACATCTAACACATCGTTTCACATCGTGAGGTGACACAGAATTGAAGGGTACCCTCATTATCACTCAATTTTACGAACTCGCGGAGGTAATAACAAGAACAGACATCAAAACATATGTAAGTAAGTAAAACAAATTTTTTTGGACGGACACTATAATTTCCAGTTTTTTACTATGTTCAATCTGAATTTTCTTTAAAATAAAAAAACATCTATATTGATTCTGACTTTTCTACATCCAACTCACAGGTTTATCATTACTTTGAGAAAAAAGATTATTAATTTAACCCTTTTAGAAGGGAAGATATGGTCATTTGTTCTGGGAATGTCATTTTCGAGCCTGAGACCTGAAAAACAGGCTTAGGGCTAAACTGGTTAACCATGGAAACCCCAAAATGACAGGCTGATGTGGTGCATGGATAAGGTGAAAAGAGAGTGTTTCACTGTGATTACCTGACAAGCTCATTTGAACAGGAGTTGATCGGTGTGTCACTCTGCAGAGAAGACGACCATCTAGAGCTCTAGCATTGATGGGCTTCTCCAAAACCTCCTGACCAAGTCCCATCTGGAAGGCCAGTGTTATGTCCAAAAGACTGGCATCAGCACCAGAGTCAATAAGAACTGCCACAGTGTGCATTTTCCCTGAGCAGCTCAGCTGAGCATGGATTAGGGGTTGAGAGGGCATTTCTAAATTCATAATTCGGCTCACAAGCGCCCTCTGGATGACTGGTGAGCCCTGCCTTTTACAGGACAAGAGGAGGCAAAATGACCATCCTGGCCACAGTACAAACAGCTGTTGTTCCGCAGGCGGCGCTGTCGTTCTGCCTCGGAGAGCCGGGTCCACCCCAGCTGACCAGGAAACCCAGCAGTAAGGCAAACATCCAGCAGTAAGGCAAACAAATCCGAAAAGGGGCAGGCAGAACAGGGCTCAGAACCAGGTGATCCGTCAGACAGGCAACCAAATCCAAACAGGGGGCAGGCAGGAACTCGAGGTTCGAATACAGGCAGGCAGGGGTCAAAACCGGGCAGGACAAGAATCTAGGCTAGAGAATAACAAACACTGGAGAGCTTGGCAGAAAAGACAAGACAATCTGGCAAAGGACAAGTGATAGTGAGATGGTATAAATACTATAAATATATATTAGATACTGTGTTTTTAAGTGGCGATGGAGATTATTTGTTGATCCTGCTTTAAAGGATATTTTGCCTTTAGAAATGGTGCGCTTTATCACTGCCTGGATTTTGGTTAAAGTGCATCCAAATGCTGCTGCGTTTTCGCGTTTGGCTCATTTTCCATCCGAAAAACACGTCGTCTACCTGTCCTGTACCACTTGTTATGACTTCTCTCTCTCGGTTATTCCGTTAAGACCCACCCATAGACTGTATAAGGACCCACCCCATCTCATTCCTGGTGCTGAAACCTACCAATCAGAGTAGGGGCTGGTCTTCACAGAATACGTTTGGGGAACAAAATCAAGCTTTTTAAAAGGCGAGTGGATTTAGGCAGGCAGTGAGTGTGGACCAACGATTGAACGTTAAAAAGAACGGCTCTCACCAAGTACGACTCGGTTCCCCTCGTTCGTACCAAAGAGCCGTTCAAAATAATCGGCTCGTTCGCGACCAACACATCACTATTATGAATGAGAACTGTTTCCTCTGAGGGTAGAAGCTGTTTCCTGTGTTTGAAGTTGCTCTGTGTTGTAATGTCCCCGTCATCTTCATCAAAGACAGAGATCACCAGCAGCCAGAGCATACCATTACTGATGCAGCACACACTAAGGCTGCTTCTCAGGTCGATTAAATGAAATCCTTGCTTCCCTCACTTGCGTCGTTTCCCTGCGTTTAGTCCCTCCCACCAGGGAAGCATGGAGGGACGCAAGGAAACCACGAGAAGCAGGGAAATGAGTTTTAAGAGCAATGGGACGTCCTTTCCTCCGGAGCGTCACGTGAAGCGACGTCCGTTTGTGATGACGCTGCACAGCTGTTCGTCTGGCAGAAGCCAGCTCTGTACCCGTTATTTCCACAAACACCCCCGCCTCTGTTAGTGCACATTTACTGACATAAACATTTGTATCATCTGTTGTAGATCCAAATACATGAAATAAAATAAGAAGTCATTCTCAAAAAAGATAAACGCCATTCTTAAAATGTATTTAAACGAACAATAGTTTGATTAATATTAATTAGAGTGCACAATAGGAATACAATTATTCAGAGAACAAAAACAGATATGTTATCTATCAAAACCCAATTAGATTAACATTCATTGGACTGCACACTTTGTTTGTTTGTGTGGAGCAAATTAACATTTTAAATAGGACTTAATGACTGCGGTTTGGCAGCTGAATTATAAGCTAAGCAGGTCAGTGAAAAACTACAAGCTGAAACCCATTAAGGTAATTTAGGAAGAAGGTTCCAATATACATGTTGGTTAGAAAGAGGTTTAACCTTTCCAAACACAACATGTCTGATGCCATGGTGTGCATTGCAGTAGGCCTTGATGTATATAATGCGCTCCTGCAGGAGCAGGAGCAGTCCAGGCGCCGTCAGGCACGACTACAACAGGCTATTGGTTTCATGGAGGTAAGCATCACTAGTCTGTTGCAGTATGAATGGTTTCACCAACAACAGCAATTTAATGTAAGATCAATTAATTGTCAGTTTAATAAAAGCTAGGTGCTGAAGGTAACATGTATCTTTATTTTGCAGACGGATGTCGATCCCATAGCCATTTTAAACCCTCATGTGCCAGTCCTTGCGGCGTTCTTTGATGGCCAGAAGGACCTCATGCAGGACTACAGACTGGGGCGCCTGTCTCTGGAGGCCCTGCTGAGGATCCTGCCATCAAAGAACACACAAGGCTGGTCACATGAGGTGAATATTTGAATTACCCTTTATTGGTTGGCACAAGGCTTGTCATACAGTGTGGTGTCCCGGGCCTTTGATGTCCCCAAGTCGACCGTCTGCAGACTGGTGCACACTGGAGTACAAAAAATTGCAGCCCTTCGCCAGGAGGTCATCAAACTGCCCCCCCCTGGAGAACTGGAGGAGGTTGGCCAAGAGTTTGCAAGGCTGGCCAACAGCCCAGTATTCTCCAGGTGTGTGGGGGCCATTGATGGCTGCCATGTCCGCATAAAGACCCCCCAGGACCTCTGGGCCAGGATTACCTCAACAGAAAGCTCTTCCCATCCATACAATTGCAGGCAGTGTGTGATGGGAAGGGCTTCTTTCTCAACACCTTTGTTGGGTATCCTGGCTCAGTCCATGACACCAGAGTCCTGATGAACAGCGCAATTTACAAACAGGCTCTGTATCCTCCCTCAGGTGACACCAAATATTCTTGTTAATACATCAAAATCCATCAATGACTTTTAGTATACTAAATATGTTCTCTCTCTTTTTAGGATTCTTCCTTTTGGGTGATGGTGGCTACCCCTGCATAGAAGGACCTGTGGCCCTCATCACCCCATATAGAGAACCACTGCAAGGGAGGGTGCAGAGCCGCTTCAACCAGCATCATGCCAGGGCTCGCTCCATCATAGAGCGGGCCTTTGGCAGGAGGAAAAGCAGGTGGAGATCGCTGTTCTTCAAGGCTCTGGAGGTCCACCACACCTTTGTCCCCTCAGTCATCACCGCCTGTGCAGTGCTCCATAACATCTGCCTCACAGCGGGGGACATCCTGGAGCCTGAAGAGGATGTTGGGGACATTGGTGTGGTTCCACCACGTCTGGTGAGGGGGGATCGAGGCGGACATGGCCAGCGAGACCGACTGGCAGGGCTGCTCTCTGCTCCATGTGTGCAACCAGTTGAACTACAAGAACATGATTATTTATAGGACTTGGGGACACGAAGGCCTTGGACACCACACTGTGTGAAAAGCTGTGTGCCTTCATTTGCGGTTTATTGCGTTGTGATGTTTATAATTTAACAAATAAAGGAACAATGTTTGACAAACAAAGTGTATCTCAATGGAACAATAACAACGTTGCAAAAACTTAGAAACAAAATCCTTTATTTACCAATTTCTCAAATAAATCCAAAAATCTTTTTGTGTTAGCCTGATTGGCCTCAAAGCGTTCCTGCTCTCGTTGGGCCTCCTCTTTCAGAAACTCTAATAGGGCCCCCCTACTTGCCCTCTTCTTCTTGGCAGGCGGGGGACTGAGAGAGGTGGATGGCTCTTCATCCAGTGTAGTGGTGCTGCTACTTGTGCCAGGCTGCCCAGGATCCTCCTCTTCCTCCATTGCCTGGCCACAAGGAGCAGCCCCAGCTCCACTGGATGAAGAGCCAATCCCACTGGGGGCCACGTCAGCCGAGTCCATCAGGACTGGAGGCTCCATGGATGGCCGACTCCCAATGGCTTCATGCATCAGGGAAAACCACGACCATGTGGCTGCCGTGGCCTCCACCGCATCTGTCCCTGTCCCTGTAGGGGGGTTTTCAGCTCCTGAGGGAGAACAAGGAATGTATGAGTCAGATGAAGACACAATAGAAATAGCTGCATTGTATGCATCTAGAAATACAATATCTCACCTTATATTTTCTTTTCAGGTTGTCCCACTTTTTTGCCAGTTGGGTGGGAGTGAGCAACTCCTCCAACTCCATCTTCTGCAGAACCTCTCTGTGGAGTAAACCATTTCTTAAATTATAGCATCCAGGCATGCAAAGTCTGATTACTTCTGACAATATGGTTCATGCATAATAATTCCATGACACACTCAGGTTCACTGTGGTTCATTCACAGTAGTGGTTACATTGATTATCATACCATGCACCAAAACAACATTGTCAAACAACTCATGTAGAACTGTAGCTCACCCCCAGGCCTTCTTGGCTGTGAAGCTCTTTCCTGTAAACAGGTGCTCATTGTCAGTCCTCTGTTGAATGAGGGCTCTGGTTTGGGCCTCCGTCCTTGTTTAAGGAGAATTATGTTATATACATCAGCAAAATGAAACCTTAAGCGATTAACATTTCACTCACATAATGCTGCATATAAATGACAGCTTCATTTTTTAATTGAGCCGATTTGAATGTATTGAATTATTTATTACAAATACATTGTGACTGCCAGCCAAATGAATGATGGTACCTTAGTTACGTCTGTATGTGGCAGGTAGCCTAGTTAAATGAAGAAACAAGTGGTTTCCAACCTAAATATGTCCGATAAATAACGAATGCTGCGTGTGTATACGCACGTTATGTAGCCTATTGCAAATCTTGCCTTTAGTTGGGCATTTCACATGAACATTGTTGAGAAAATATAAAGCGTTCAATAACAGAAATATATGAGTTGTGGGTTAAATACATGTGAACAGATGTTGCATTATCGTAACGGTATCGTTGTAGGCATACAAATAACATGAAGTAATAGGTACTTACACTTGTGTCGTTTTTCTGCCGCCATGTCTTTCAAATGTGCCAGCTGCATGCTGGAGGCAGGGCTTTTAAACCGAGTGAAATCAAGGATTCATGTCTCAGCTGTGATTGAATGGAAATGACAATAAATGAAACTGTAAAACGAAAAAAGCGATCATGAAAATGTTTCCAATAATGATTTTTGACCACTTTTGTTCAGATCACATATTTGTAACTAAATGATACATGAATTGAAACAAAACACGGTATAAACTGAGGAGTGAGTCCCGTGAGGTTCATGTGTTTTCTTCACTCCGCTGGGGTATTGCTCTCATGTCAAGAAGCATCAGATCAGTGCATGCACTGCCTCGTCCAATCAGTGAGCGATACACAGTAAGGGGGCGGGGTGAGTATCTGAGGATTTCATCGGAGGATGGTCTGGTGGTTCCTTGGTTATCGCTCCTCCATGATCGCTCCTCGCTCCTCGGTCCTCCGGCAGAAATAAGAGCCATGGGACGGTACTCAAGATGGCGCAGGCAAATCAACTTCCGGTGAGACCGAGGAGCGAGGAAATGAAAATAGTCGACCTGAGAAGCAGCCTAACCCCCAAAACACACCAGGAGCGTCTGCGCCGCGTTACGTTGCGGCTGCGCCACGCTGCGACCTCCTCCTGCGACAACACACACCAGACGCGTTTCAAAACGTTGCGGAAGCGGAGCGTCGTGTGTGCAGCCTCGCAGTTGTTGTTGATTTTGGAATATTTCCTGGACATTTGTACTTCTACAAGTAAGTAGGCTATACGTAGTTAAATGGTATATGTTTGTGTCTGTTTAAATCGTGTTTATTGTTGTTATTTCCTATTTTGTTGTGTTGTAGACTACAGACATAGTTAATAATAATTGTAATATTCCAGTTATAAACGACATGAATCAAAGATGTGTTGCTGTATTTTAGTGGTAAAAAAATATGCATTCATCATCATAATTATTCTATATATATATATAATTTACAGTGCCTGTAAACCGGAGGAGAACGCTGGCATGTATTCTCCTACTTGAAAGACTACGGGGGGATGGGGGGAGGAGAAGGAGCCGGTTATGGGAGTGGAGGTGTTGTGGGGTCTGCTAAATTAGTATATGTGGGGGATGGGCCTGGCCCGGATGCTCACCTTTCCACTTCCTGCGAGGGGGGGGCTGCCTGCCCGACTTTACCTTACGGCTGCGCCGCGGCAAAAATAGGATTCATCCTAATTTTAGAGAAGCGCTGCGCCGAGCCGCTTCTGGGACGCGTCTGAGCCGTAACACGGCGCGTGTGGTGTAATAGCACCCATTGACTAGAGTGGCCGCGATCCTTACAACCGCCGCGGCGCGGCCGTAACGCGACGCAGACGCTCCTGGTGTGTTTTGGGGGTAAGGCTGCACGATATATCGTGTTGTGACGATAATCGCGATATGCACATGCGCGATATTCACATCGCTTGGAGGTGCAATTTTTTCTTTCTTTAGGACTTGCGATATTAAGTAGGCAAATTAACTCAAACACGTCATGTTACAATTATTTTGCTGCTTGCTACAAAAGGAAAACTTGCGCGGCTCTCATGTCAGGGGTACTTGAGTGAGTGACATGCAGGCTCTGCATGCACAGCAAACCACCAATCACAATCAAATCTCAAAGCAAACGGACCCGGTGATTAAAGGTAGAAACACTGAATAAAGTAGTTTCATGTGTTTCTCCAGGGCAGTTCGGCGCTGCTAACCGAGCTAGCTCAGCTTGTTGCTCTGATAACTTAAGATCCAGACGTCCGTGACTAAAATTCTTCATCCGGTTGAATATAGTTAAAAAAAATACCAATTGTATAGCATTAAAGTTCAAGAAAGGATGGTTTGCGGGGGAAAAAATTGTCTTTTCTTCAATTCCTGTATGTTTTCATATCGCAATATATATCGCAGGGGGAAAATAATATTTGTTCCAATATCGTGCAGCCCTAGCACACACTATGTATCATTTAATTTCCCTTATTTCATTCTCTCATTGGCTCTTTTGGAGTTTCATTCTCTTTACTGGGAGTCCTTGAGGAGGAACAGCTCTGTGTTGGGGTTAGCTGCATCAGAATCAGAATACCTTTATTAGTCCCACAGAGGGGAAATTTACGAAGGGAATATTTGCACGTCTCCTGCTCAGAGATCAGCTGCTGGGCTGTCAGAAGAGGGGGAGGAAAGAGAGGCTCCGTTTATTATTCTTATATTATTATATAGAGTCGTTATCAATTTGTTTTAAAGCTCAATAAATAACAAAGAAGACCTCTGACCAGCACTTTTCTATTTCGTCCAGATGATTTAAACTTTAACGGACATGTTGACCGGCGGAAAAAAATGTTAACGGAAACTCTGCCGCATGGTTCCCTCGTCCCTTGGAAGAGGCGGAGAGGTGGATGTTTTTCATCTGCTGGTGGACTACCGGAGAGATTTACAGCAGGAGCACACGCCGTCCACCGCGGAGAATAAACAGAAGGGCAACCATGGCAACCATGCTCCGGGTCTTCTTCGCTGCTTTTGGTGTATTTTGTGACGGCAGCAGCGCCAATTACAGGCCCGGCATATGTACTACAGCGTTTCCAGCGGTCTCGTGTGAACGGACACGTTGATTGAACCGAATGCGTGTGAACGGAACACTTTTTTGAAAACGCATACGGTGCGTTACCGCAAACGTCCCCGTGTACATTTTATATGTCTAAGTCATGCTGCTTCTTCAGTGTATGGATATTTTCTGAATATCTGTTAATAAATATTTCAAATGTTGCTGGTTGTTTAATTTAGAAGCCTTTAGTCAGTTAACAATTTAACCTGTTAAGCCCCAAGGTCCCCGTCGCGGGTACTTTTAATTTTTTTTTCACGACAGGGGATCTTAATATTTAAGAACCTATTAATGTGTTATACCAGATTAACGGGAATCATCTCAGCTAACTGATGATTTAAACCATTTTTACCAAAACAAAACACAAGTCTTATAAGAAGCATCTAAATGACCCCTGAGCGAAAAATGCTAACGCACTTTGGCACAGAACTCAAGATAAAAGATACCCTTATTACTTATCGTAGCTGCACATACAATATATCCGATTAAAGCTGAGGTTCCACAGATTATTTAGGTATATATATCATCACTAAGTGATCCAAACTCGCGACAGGGGAAGCAAACTCAGACATCACAACACGTACCTTTACGGAGCTTTTACGGAGCTTTTACGGGAGATCGTCTCACCGTAGCTGTCAATCTGATCAAAAGACGTGTTCAATGGCATTAAAACGAGAAAAAACGCGGCTGAATCGGTTAATCCATAGATTGATAATTTTTCTGGGTGATAATATTTTTTATTTATAATCCATAATTCCATTTTTATGTAAAAATCGGAGAGTAAAAGCTAGCTGCTAATGGTAGCCACCAGAGTTATCGCATCTTCCGGTCTTGGCTATGCGGCAGTCTCACACACACACATTACCAAATAAGGAGTATGTGGGAGTTCCCCTCGATTCCATTGGCTCTGACGGTTAGAAAGAGATGTCAATCAGCAAAATCGAGCAAGGGGGGCCAGAGCTAGGTCGAATCCACCCAAATGACCCCAGAAGTGTTTTTTTTTTGCTAATTCTCTCTAAAAAGGTCACATTTCACTTGTTTTGCATCAATCTTGATACAGGGTACTTATTATATGTTGTATGTGCTTTTAGTCTACTATCCCATCATTCAAGGGTGGTTTTCACTATAAGTAATTTTTTTTTTTGGACGGACACAATAATTAATTTTTTTTTACTGTGTTCAATCTGAATTTACTTTCAAATAAAAACATCTATATTGATTCTGACTTTTCTACATCCAACTCACAGGTGTAGTAACCTTGCTTTGAGAAAAATGATTATTAATTTAACTCTTTAATATAAGGGAAGATATGGTCATTTGTTCTGGGAATGTCATTTTCGAGCCTGAGACCTGAAAAACAGGCTCGGGGCTTAATTAAGGCAGGTTGTTTTTAAGTCATAGAGATTACTGGAAAGACTGTATTCAATGTTCACTTTTCAAACAAATCTGAAAGTGGATCAGAAATGTAATAAGTTTGCCTCTGAAAACCTGTCTTTCATTCAGCATATTCAGGCAGTAGCCTATACACCAACGATGAAACACATGAGCACATACTACAGTTTAAAAAAGCAGAAATAAAATCTGAGCTGAGCCAATTTGGTACGGCCCTCGAGGTAATTTATAAACACACGTAAAAAAGAAAAAAATGAAAGAAATCTTGACCGCAAAAAAATTAAACAAGCGAGTGCCTGTTTTTCCTGGCCACGGTCAGGGTCCTTGAATACAACACGAGCCTAACGTGTCATCACGTGGTATATGTCTCGTCTGACACAGAGCCCTAGAGAGATTATCTCTCTAGAGCTCTGGGCTGACAGGGGTGTAGTGCTGACGGAGAGCACCAGAACGCGGCTCCGGCACTTCCAAAAATTGCAGTACCCATAAGGAGCC